AAGTTAAATGAAGAAAACATCAAAAAAATATTAAATATTTCCGCCATACAAATCCACCCATCCAACTAATTATTCAACGGCTCCCGTAGAAGTTCAAAAAATGTGTCTTAAGCATGCGCAGAAATTGGAATTCGGTTGGCATATTATGGCCCTTTAAATTTTCGGTATTGCGTCGTTTGCAATAAATCATTGCTTTGTTTGTCTTCATGGAGAAACATCTCTAAATTAAGCCAAATGTTTGACTTACTCTTTGATCTTTGATAGTTTAGAGAACTGATGAAGATTTAGAAATATTAAGAAAAACATCTTCTATTAAATCAATGAAATAGCCGACTTCTATAGTGAAAAGCAATAAACGCTGGTAATCAACGCTGATCATATATATATATATATATATATATATATATATATATATATATATATATATATATATATATATATATATATATATACGTACATCCTGCTATCATTCAACTCTTTTCACGTTGCAGTCATTTAGAATCACCAAGGAATGCTATCATTTTTTATTTATAAGGCGTGTATGTTCGTTTAGTGCACCTTTGTAGGCTTAGCACCGTTGTCGGTTTTTCAATATTCCAATTTTTTTATATATTTAATTTTTTACATCAAACCTATTTTAACATCGAGCGGTAAAATCACTGTATTTGGTATCATTTTACAGCCAATAGATGTTGCCGATATTAATACTTAAAATAATATTTAGATACATAAATATCGATCGGTTTGGATAAAGTTCAAATACCGACATTGAAACTACCTGCTGACGAGTTGCGATCTCAATAGGTTTTTTCTTCGTTCAGATGTTATACTTATTCAACCTAGATATTTTTCCCAGATAATTGTGTAGGTGAATATTTTACATAAATTTCAATTTACAACCTGTTTAATAGAAGCTATCGGTGAATAGTTTGAGATAAATATTATGTTTTTATGGGATTAAGCCTCAATTATTTTTTGTGATTGTGATGAGAATCACATTTTTAATTAATTAATGTTTGACATTTTGATTTCCATTCCGGAAATCGTTCTCAAAAAACGCTTTTTTGTACAAAATGTGTATACACATTTTTACATAATTTATACAATAAACAAGGTTAAATAGTGAAAATCAAAACGTTAAATATTAGTTAATTAACGACCAATAATTGTGGCCTAATCATATAAAAAAATAATATTTAACTTAACCATACAACAAGAAAGTATTTCACAGAATCTCGCTAAATAGTTTTAAAAAAATCTTATGTAGATATTTAAATTCTAAATAGTATGAGGGGTAGCTGATGAAAAATTCGTAAGTCTGTACACTTGAATTTGCTTTGTTTTTAAAACAATCTTAAAAAGTGAAAAAAAAATTTGCTCATAAAAGGTTTTTTATACATTCTAAAGAAAAATGATTCAAATAAAAGTTGTAGACCATAAAAGGTTTTTTATATTAACAGATACGAAATTAAAATACATAAATAATTGACCGAGATAATTGCAAAAAACCATAAACTCTAATATATTATGCTTGTAGTAATTTCTAAATGTTAATAACTTTGTTTTTTGCCTAACGGCAGGTAATAAAGCTACTTGAAATTATGGCAATTAATGATTTATTAAGGTGTGCTAAATATTAAGCAAATCGAAAAAATAGTTTACAATTTATTCAATTTGTTTATCCCAGAGAGCGATTATTTAAACAATTCATCATCATCATTGGCTTTTACAACTCTTCGTGAGTTTTTGGCGCGTTTACTATTGCCTTCCATTGATTCCGATCCTGTGCTATTATTTCCCATGGCCTTACTTCCATCTTCTCCAGGTCTTCCCTGACAGCGTCTTTCCACCTTTTTCTAGGCCTTCCTGTCGATCTTTTACCATCTGGTCTTTCCCAAAATACATTGCTAATCAGTCTGTCGTCATCACTCCGTACCACGTGGCCTGCCCATCTTAATCTATTGGCTTTTATGTATCTTACGATGTTGCCTTTCCCGAAGAGAGTCTCTATTTCATTGTTGTATCTGCTCCTCCATTCATTTGTCACGCTGTCCCTGCAAGGACCATATATAATTCGCAGGATTTTGCGTTCCCATACTAATAGCTTATTGATTTCTTTCTTTCTCAATGTCCATGTTTCACTTCCATATGTCACTGCTGGTCGTAGTATGGTTTTGTACATTTGGATTTTGGCACGCCTTGAGAGAAGTTTTGACCTCATTAGATGTTGAATGGCAAAGAATGATTTATTCCCCGCCAGTATTCGTATTTCAACCTCCCGTTCTCCTGTGTTTTCACTGGTAATTGTTGCTCCTAGGTATTTGAATTCTTTGACCACCTCAAAATTATGATCGTTTATGGTAATGTTTTGTCTTATTCGCTGTCGTTCCTTTTTTGATACGACCATGTATTTAGTTTTTTCTTCGTTTATTTTCAGGCCTACGCTTAGTGTTGCTTCTTCAAAGTTCGATACTATATCCTTAACTTCCAGTGTTGTCTGTGCTACTGCATCTACATCATCTGCAAATGCGAGAATAATCTTTGCTCCTCTGGCAGTTATGTCTGGTTTGACTCTGGTATATATTTTTCGCATTGCGTATTCCAATGCTAGGTTAAATAGTAATGGAGACAGCGGGTCTCCCTGTCTGAGCCCGGTGCTTATGCCGAAAGCCTTTGAATTTTTGCCTCCTATTCTAACTTGTGCAAAGGAATTGTTGACACACATTCGCGCAATCATGGTCAGTTTCTTTGGTACGCCTAACTCCATCATTGCACTCCACAGTTTTAAGCGATCTATGGAATCATATGCTTGTTTGAAATCTATGAATATCTGGTGTACTTCTTTATTATATTCCCAATACTTTTCTAGCATTTGTCTGATAGTAAATATTTGGTCGATTGTTGATCTTCCAGGCCTAAAGCCGCATTGGTAATCGCCAATAATTTCCTCTGTATATGGCAGTAATCGTTTTAGTACAACTGAAGCTAATATCTTATATGTAGTACCGATTAGTGAGATTCCCCTGTAGTTGCCACATGTATCCTTTCTGCCTTTTTTATGTATTGGCACGATAATACAGCCACTCCATTCTTTTGGCATTATTTCTTGTTCCCAGGCTTCTTTCATTAATTGGTGTATTTTAGTTCTAAGTTCATGCCCTCCTTTTTTAATCAGTTCTGCATCTATATTGTCTAGTCCCGGGGATTTGTCATTTTTTAGGGTTTCTATCGCCGTGTTAATTTCTTCCAGACTTGGCGGGGGTACTTCTATCTCGGCCGTTTGGTTATTTAAACAATTGCACTTATCCAAACATTGACTCTATGTCTATGGTTGCCGTAAATAAATTCATCATCATCATAAGTGGCTCGACAATCTGTTGTGGATCTTGGCCTGCTCACAAAGAAGTCGGCACTCCTGTCGATTCCTGGCAACTTCCCTCCATCTTCTAACCCTTAGAATCTGTAGATCTTGCTACACATCATCAATCAATCTCATTCGTGGTCGTCCTCTGCTTCTTGTACCCTCTGGTTTTGAAAATGTCAATCTCTTAGCGTATTCGTGATATGATATCCTAGCAATGTGTCCAGCCCACCTAAGTCTCTGCACTTTAACGAATTTCACAATATCTGGATCGGTGTATGACTGATATAGTTCAAAGTTGTATCTTCGACGCAATAGCCCATTTTCATTTACGGCCCCAAAAATCTTTCTAAGAATTTTTCTCTCAAAAATACCAAGAAGTATTTTATCATTTTGAGATAAGGTTCACGTTTCAGCCCCATATATCAAAACCGGTCTTGTATATATTAAGTTTTACTGCACATTTTATATTTTTGTTTTTTAATTGTTTCTGGAAACCGTGAACAGTTCTGTTTGCTATTGCTATACGTTTTTTTATTTCGTCGCTTGTCGTGTTTGTTGCGTATACTAGCGATTCAAGAAATGTAAAGTCTTTGACTTGCTCAAAGGTATGGTTGTTAATTTGAATTCTCTGTTGGATATTTCGAGGGGTTTTAGAAACCAACATATATTTGGTTTTTTCCTCGTTTACCACAAGACCTAATTCACTTGCTGCGTCCGCAAGCCTTGTAAAACACTGCACCATGTCTCTCATACTTCTGCCTTCTGACTATAACTATATCGTCAGTGAATGCGAGAATTTGCGTAGATCTATTAAAAAAAGGTTCCATTCATTCTATTATTTAATTGTCTGATTGCCTTTCCAAGGCAATATTAAAGAGCAGACACGCCAACGCGTCCCCTTGTCTTAGAACATTATTAATGTCAAAGAACTTTTTAAAGAATGCGTTAGAATTGAAAGACAAGAGTTTTCTCCTTTAATTCTAACGCATGAGCTTACGTTTTGCATTGTTAGTTGGATCAACTTAACTATCTTAGGTGGGATCCCAAAGTCTATCAGTCTATCATAATGCAGTTCTTTTCACACTGTTATAGGCTGCTTTGAAGTCAATGAAGAGATGGTGTTTATCTATGTTATATTCTAGTGACTTTTCTAGAATCTGCCTATGTGCTTGAATTTGATGTGTAGTAAATAAATTAAACCGGGTTAATTTTTCTATGCACACAAGATAAAATTTCACTGAACAGCACTGGTTCCGTTTAAAACATGGCTGATTCCGTCTGCGCGAACGAGATGCGCGTACTTATCTTGACAAGCAGAATGGACATTCTGATGTTATTATTCTGTGGATATACTATATGAGCTAATTAGACCATATTAAAAATTGCCTTAAAAATTATTTATTGCTTCTTGGCCGTACATATATTTTCTGCGTAAATTCCTGGAATTCTACTTTTGTTAAAAAACATATAGAATCAAAAAGATGGCTATTACACAAAAATTAACTTATTGATATATTAGAGGTTACACATCAAACTACTCAAAAATTTAAAATTTGTAGTTAAACATTTTCACCATTATATTTTAATTTTTAATAATATTTCTGACAAAGGATACAGTATACAAATAATTTCTTACATGTTTGGTGGGTTGAAGATTCACTATAGCTACTTTTCCGCCATATTTTTTACATCGAAGAGGTAGATTACCACTAGGAACTATCTGAAGTGTGGTACCCAAACAAATATTTAAGTCAGCTAGACTAAAACAAAAAATTTTCATTAAAGTCAACATGTAAATTATATTTTTATAATCATTATAATATGAAATAGTGTTAGTTTTAAAAATATATTATTTTTAATAAATTTACAGGAAATCTGGTAGTAAAAAAATTATTTTTGTGGATTTGTTTAACATTTATTGCAAAAACAGCTAATTAAATAATAATATTGTTTTAGTAATTGATGTTATACAATTTTTTAAAGCTAAATTTAAACTACTTTACAAAGTCCGATTAGTGCCATTTGTCATTGTATGTCTGCACTTGACCATGGCCAGGTATTTATAATTGAAAAAAAGTATTGATTTTATGTATAGTGAGTATAGCAAGGACATATCTATCGCTTAAACTGTAAAGTGGCTAACTACACTTTTTAATGAAATTGAGATTATGTGCCACCTGTTAAAAATCAATAAAATCTGTCGTTTGATGATGTTAAAATACCTAACATATTTACAGTTTTCTTTAATTCGCGCCATCTGTAAAACAGCTATCTGTTTGAAGTTCAATTTGAATAATGCAAATCGTCTAACTCCTTAAATTGCTGCCATTTAAAATACTTTTGTGGGGGTGTTAAGAGACAGCATTGCGCTTCAGTTTTTCATTAAAAATGGAAACATTTCACTTCAACTACTACCGCTAGAACTTCAGTTGTTAATAAAGTGATTTAGTGATATAAAGGTAAACGTATGTATTTATGTAAACATAATAATTTTGTGTAATTATGATTAAGCAAAATTTGATTACTTATAGCTCTTCAGCTTACGATGTCATCCCGTTCTAAAAACATGTATCCTTGGTAAAAGAACAAGATATAAAAAATGCCGATAGAACATTAACATGTCAAGAAAAAACAGATAAACATTTAATCAACCAGCTAGAAAATTATGCTAAGATACTTTTACTATTCATAGATCAGCAAAATATATGTCGTCCAACTGACCAAAGTAATTTTCTGTTTATTGAATCCCAATTAAATAATAATAAAGTTGTAGTTAAACAAGTAGACGACTACAAAGAATAATGCAAATGACTTCTCTAATCAGATTCTGAGACCACCTATGACACTAAAGACAAGATGTAAATGTAATGAACGGGTAAAATATTGTAAAATTAGATGTTCTTTGATTACAGAAGGTCCTAGAATACGATGTTCTCATGTATGAATTTTACAAAGATATTATCGTACTTTAGATGTTTTCTATATATAAATATTGTATATAAATATAATATACATACATATTGATGTTATTAAATACATTTTATTAGATACCTTAACAAAAACAAAACGATTATTAATATGATAATTTTGCTGGATGTCAATGATTAAATTATAAATTTCTAGAATATCTATCATCACAAACTGGCAACGATGTTGTCGTATTATCGCATTAACAGTTCGGAGAATTTACTGCCTACAAATTTGATTCTCAAATATAGTAACATCTTATATAAAATCAGGGATACGAAACGGATGATTATTTATGATCATATGGTACTCAAATACAGACGCATTTTAAATCCATTTTTAGATCAATTTTTAAATGGATATTTGCTCACTCCCACGACATGGGTTAGACAAAGGAAACACTAGACACAGATTGCCGAGTTACATTTGGTACACAGACATGTATAAAACTGCAGAAGGGCCTGGTGCAGGAATATTAAAAATTAACAAGATAGGAGAAGTATTTTGTTATGTTATTTGTTAATAATAGTTTCCAGTCCACTTGGATAAATTAAAAAAAAAACACATTTGAACTTTAAAAAAATATATATAAAATCGAATAAAAACGGTTTGGTGAGGTAGAAATGCAAAAAAAGTTTAGTCGGTATATTCTGTTTCTTAGCGTCGTTTTAGGGGTTGTTTGAACTTGAAATTACACGCCAACTAGTAAAAAATTGGCAAATTGTAAATGTCAAAATAAATAATGTCAGAATAAATTGTTCCTTTCAAGTTGACAAACACGTTTTTCATTCGGTCAAAGTTTTGATTAATTTATTCAAGTTTATTTCAACAAGAAGTTCATAACCAGCGCAAATATACAGTCCAACCTTCAGGGTTTCTTCTAATCTCTTCATGGTTTGGTCCTTCTTCGCAGGATTTGGTTATGAACAAGAAAAATATAATTAATAATTTCAAATAATCAACCTAAATTTGGCGTTCATACATCGAGAAAGCAAGTATTGTTGGTCCATCAAAATATTTAACAGTTCTCTTAGTAACGGAAATCAACATTTAGCTGCCCAACTCGTTTGGATCGCCCCATTCCAGTTCCTAACGGTAACACCTACTTTCTTCAGTGCTGCGGTAAATGCAATTTAAACCCCTCTAAGAAGGTAACGGTCTGGTGCTGTTAAAATACGAAGTATTACGAAGTCATACGAAGTAATATCCTTTTTTAACTTGTCTATATTATAATTTTCTTTATTTTTCATTTAATATAATTTATTATTCCTAATATTTGACTTGATACTGATAAAATGTCAATTGCAATTCTACGTAGAAAACGGTCAGTAATCAAAACAAAATTAACAAATTTTAATAAATATTTAGATGAAATAAAAGTTTTAGACGAGCAGAATCTTCCAGTGGCGGAGTTAGAAATACGTATTTCCAAAATAAATAATTTAATAGAAACATTTGAAAATATTCAAGATGAAATCGACTGTCTGGAAGATTCTGTATCTGAAAATGATATTAGTTCAAGGGTAGAGTTTAAAAATAGTTTTTACTCTGCAGTAGCACTAGCAAAAGTGTTAATAATAGGAGTGCAAAATCATTTGTTTCAACTGAATATGTATGTCAATTCTGTCAAAATTCCCACAAAATTTCAAATTGTCCAGAGTTTCTTAATTTATCTGTAAAGCAACGAACCAATGAGGCAAAAGGTCGTAAATTATGTTTGAACTGTTTACATCTGGGGCATATAAATAAAAACTGTAAATACGGAAAATGTCAAAAATGTGGTATGAAGCATCATACCCTACTTCATATTGAGTTTTCTAGTTCTTCACATGCTTCAAGTGTACCTTCAAATCCACAGCATAATTCTTCTTCTCAGAACATTGTGGAACCTCCAAATGCTTCCATCACTCTTTCTTCTTGTTTTTCTGATACTCAGGTATTGCTGTCAACAGTTACTCTTCTTATTAGTGATGCTTATGGCCGTTATCATTCGTGTAAGGCTATTTTAGATTCTGGTTCACAATCAAACTTTATTTCTGATGAACTATGCAACAAGTTGGGTATAAAAAGGGAACATGTGAATATTGCTGTTTCTGGTATCAGTCAGGTACCTTCACGTATAAGTTCTAAATGTTCTGTCTCTATTCAAGCAACTCATTCTAACTTCAATCTCTCAATCTCTTGATTGGTAGTAGAAGAAATATGTAACTTAATTCCAAATTTTCCTTTAGATACCAACTTATTCAATATACCTCAAAATGTTCGTCTAGCAGATCCAAATTTCTTTAAACCTTCTAAGATTGATCTCTTAATTGGTTCTGCTGTGTTTTGGGATCTTCTCCTAGTTGGTCAAATTCGTTTAGGGCAAAATATGCCAGTTCTTCAAAAAACTAAATTTGGCTGGATTATTTCAGGTCCGTTGCCAATTTCTCGTACAAATAATATTAATTGTAATTTTTCCCAAAATGTGGAGTCACAGGAACTTTCTCGATTTTGGAAAATAGAGGAGTGTTCTACTTTAAGGCCTATATTGTCAGAGGAAGAACAGCTGTGTGAACAGCACTTCATCTCAACATTCAAAAGAAGTTCCAATGGCAGATTCATAGTTTCAATTCCTCTTAAAGAATCTCCGAACAAATTAGGTGACTCCAGTCAATCTGCTTCTAAACGGTTTTATAGTCTAGAAAGAAGGTTTCAAAATAATTCCTCTCTTAAATCAACTTATGCAAATTTCATTCAAGAGTATATAGATTTAGGGCACATGTCAAAATCTCCTTTAATTTCTTCTTCGAGTATATCTTACTTTCTTCCACACCATGCAGTTCTAAAGGAAGATATTTTGACTACTAAGCTTCGTGTCGTCTTTGATGGGTCTTCCACTTCTTCAACTGGATTATCATTAAATGATATTCAAATGGTTGGCCCTAATGTACAAAGCGACTTTTTTTCAATACTTCTTCGCTTCAGGCAGCATTCATTTGTAGTTTTTGCGGATATATTCAAAATGTACCGACAAGTTCTCATTGCTCCTGAACAGCGAAACCTTCAACAGATCTTATGGCGATTCGATCAATCAGAAGATTTATGTAAATATCAGCTAAATACAGTTACATATGGTACTGCAGGTGCTTCATTTCTTTCTACTAGATGTCTTCTACAACTTTCAATAGAATCTGCCTCAGAGTTTCCTGAAGCATCGAAGATAATATCTTCAGATTTCTATGTAGATAATCTTCTAACAGGATCTGATTCTTCTTCGGATCTTTCACGTTTATGCTCCGAAATTACTACCATTCTTGATCGTGGTTGTTTTCCACTTCGTAAATGGGTTTCTAATAATCCTAACATCATCGATAGTATTAATTCTTCTTCTATCTCTTCTACTGATTCTAACTTTCTTCGCATTGGAGAGATAACCAAAACGTTAGGTATTCTATGGTGTTATGAGTCAGATACCCTCATGTATCATATAAATGAACCCACATCTAAACCTTCAATCCTTTCTTCAATTACACAAATCTACAATCCTTTGGGCCTTCTTGCACCTTGTGTAATAAAGGTAAAAATATTAATTCAAAAGTTGTGGTTGGAGCAGTTGGATTGGGATCAGTCAGTACCAATTAGCATTTATACCGAATGGTCATCATTCAGACGCCAACTTTCACTTCTAAATGAACTTAAGATAGTCCGCAATTTCAAATGCAGAGAAGCTATTAGGCTTGAGTTGCACGGATTTTCTGATTCTTAATTAATTCTTCTGGAGTTGTTTGTGTCAATCTTCTTTGTGCAAAAAGCAAAGTTGCACCTCTTAAGAAAATAAGTCTTCCTCGACTAGAACTTTGTGGAGCTCTTATTCTTTCTAGGTTAGCCGCCAAGGTTATTGATTCATTGACTATTAAATTTCATGATATGTTTTTCTGGTCAGATTCCACTATAGTTCTTGGATGGATCAATACACCACCAAACGTTCTTAAAACATTTGTTGCAAACAGAGTGTCAGAAATTGTCTCCAATACCAATTCCAGCAAGTGGTCTCATGTTTGTACAAAGCAAAATCCTGCAGACCTACTCACTAGAGGCCTTGAACCTTCACTTCTACATTCATCTAGCTTGTGGTGGGAAGGTCCCAGATTTCTTTCTGTCGATCCCTTTGACACACCAATTCAACCTGTTCGATGCAATAAAGATCTACCTGAATTAAAGATAGAATCCATATCAATGAAAATATCACCTACTATAGAATTACTTTCTTTTGAGCGTTTTTCCAATTTCAGCCGCTTGCAGCGCAGTTTAGCATATTGCTTTAGATTCATTCATAATGTAAAATGCTCGAATCATTCACTTAGACAATTTGGTCCTCTCTCGTTTGAAGAATTGCAAAATTCCGAAAGATATGTAGTTAAAGTAGTTCAAAATCAAGCCTTTAAGCTTGAAATTCAAACACTGTCATCAAAGGAAATTCTCCATACTAAGTCTAGCATAATTTCTTTACATCCTTTCATCGATAATGATGGTCTTCTTCGTGTAGGAGGTAGACTTAGAAATTCATTGTTTAGTCAGGATAAAAGACATCCTGTCTTACTTCCTTCCAGTCATCATGTTACCAAACTTATCTTTAAGGACATTCACATTTGATCATTACATTGTAGTCCTCAGCAATTGTTATACCTCATGAGAGAAAAATTTTGGCCAATTCATGGTAAAAACACTGCAAAGGCTGTTGCTCGTAACTGTGTAACTTGTTTCAAGGCCCATCCTTCTTCTGTTAATCCAATAATGGGTGATCTTCCTGCAGCCCGTGTACAGCCTTCATTTCCTTTCGCTGTTACTGGGGTCGATTATGCCGGTCCATTTCTTCTTAAGGACAGACGAGGACGTGGCTGCAAGACTTATAAGGGCTATGTATGCTTATTTGTATGTCTCAGCACGAAGGCCTTACACTTGGAACTTGTATCAGATCTTTCAACTCAAACTTTTTTGTCAGTCTTAAAACGTTTCATTTCTCGCAGGGGCAAACCCACTCAGCTGATGTCAGATAATGGATCAAATTTTACTGGTGCATTCAATTAACTCAATGCATTAAGTGAATTTTTAAAATTAAATAAAGATAAAATTAAGGATGAATGCAATCATAATCAAATTTCTTGGAAATTCATTCCATCTTATACTCCTCACTTCGATGGTATTTGGGAGTCAGGGGTCAAATCAATGAAATCACATATGAAAAGAGTTTTCTCCAATTCTTTACTGACTTATGAAGATTTTCAAACAATTCTTGTTCAAATAGAAGGAATACTAAATTCTAGACCTCTTTCTCCTCTTTTCAATGATCCTTCCAATTTAAATCCGCTAACACCTTCTCACTTCTTAATTGGCCGACCAATCAACTCAATTCCCGAAGTCGACTTATCTAATGAAAAGGAAACTCGTCTACAGTTACACGAAAGGCTCCAGTTCCTTCAGCAACATTTCTGGAAACGTTGGTCTTTAGAATATATTTCAGAACTTCAGCAGAGGCAGAAGTGGAAGGTGAATCGTTCAAATATAAAGAAAAATACCTTAGTCCTCATCAAAGACAGGCAGCTACCACCCAAGAAATGGCTTCTTGGTCGAGTACGAGATCTTCACCCTGGAAATGATGGCGTTACTAGGGTTGTATCAGTGCATACTTTCAATGGTGTTCTTCGGAGGGGAGTGTCAAATATATGTCCTCTTCCGGTTGAAACGGACAAATAATGTGAAAGTACATTTTTAAGTGAACTCTATTTTAGCTTATGTATATATATTTCACCTATGTATGTATATTTCACCTTATGTATGTATTTCTTTTTTGTTATAATGTAAATTGTTTTGAAAGTTACCCCTTTCAAGGTGGGGGGCATGTTTGAACTTGAAATTACACGCCAACTAGTAAAAAATTGGCACATTGTAAATGTCAAAATAAATAATGTCAGAATAAATTGTTCCTTTCAAGTTGACAAACACGTTTTTCATTCGGTCAAAGTTTTAATTAATTTATTCAAGTTTATTTCAACAAGAAGTTCATAACCAGCGCAAATATACAGTCCAGCCTTCATGGTTTCTTCTAATCCCTTCAGGGGTAAACCTCTCGCCTATAAGCCTGGACTCTAAGGCAACGTAATTCTCACTGAGATAAGCACCAGGTCAAGTAGATAGCAAAATGTATATTGGACGAAAATGTGCTAATCAGTACTGCGGAAATCAAGCTCAATCAATAGAGTCATAACAGGCTTCCTGATCCTTACTGAACTTGCGTCAGTCAATCGATACTGCACAGAATGGGACTGTTTCATGAACAATTAAGCTACAAACTTTAACAGAGGTCCTGAAACTGTCAGCATGCGTGTCTGCGAGACATTAGATCTCAGGCGACAAGCACATTTGATAGTCCTGGAGAATATCAAATGACTTCAACAACAAATGGTACCCATCCTTTATACCTGTACAAGCTGGTACAGTGTTCCGTGGGTATCATGAATAAATGATAAGATACTCTTTAAGAGGTAATAAGAACACTTATCTTACTTATAATCCTAAAACTGTTTTAATAACTTTCAAGCAGAAAATTTAAGATTATGTACGTTTAAAGGTTATAATATTGATTTAATTTATCATGAAAGTGGCGATTAAATTACCTAAAAAGAATTTGAATAAACCTACCCAGAAATAAATAGCGAGTTAGGAAATTTATTGTAAAGCCGCTTAATGTATAAATTTTTATGTACATTTTTAACCAAATTTTTTAATAAATAATAAATTACAAGTAAATAAATACTATACCTGGAATGATAATCGGACATTTCCAAATCATATTCCGGTAAACTGTCCTCCCAATCTAGAATTGTATCGCATAGTTTACCTCTACAAGTACGTCCTCGTAGCATAGAAGATCTTTTACAATCTTCGTTTAGGTATTTCTTGCCAACAGTTGAGGTAGCTTCTGGTCTAACGAATTGGCTAGAATGAAACAAATAAATTAAAAATGAATCCACCTGTGAAGTTACGTTATTAAGTTGAATTAAGATACTTCTAAAGTTTCTTTAAATTTACTAGTAGTTAGACAGTTGACGTATTTATTCGTTGGAAAATGAAATAAATTTCTATTTAAAAAATCGCAAGTTGCATTTAAAACTGGGATCAACTATAGCCAATCAGTAAGTGCTAAATTAAACAATATATGGTACTGTTATATGGTGTGGAATCCATCGCACCTAAGCCTACGGTGCAATAATGTCACTTAAGCAATTTTTGTCAAAACTGAACTACAAGAAAATATTCCTAATCTACGTTCTTACTTGGTGCGTTATTAACACTCGTGTAACACACATACTTTCATAGTGAGGGCACTAGTGTCGTTACAGTTTTGGCGCGAATATGGACGGCCCTGGGAGGAACGTTACATTAATCAGTTGCGCGCGGCCCGCAGTTGCGGGGGTACGGGACTCTATTGGAGCTACGTTACTAAGATAATTGAGATAATTTATTTTTATGTTTTTGAAGCAATAATGATACTTTTGTCGGGAAGTAGTGACATTGTTTCCCCAATGTATTTTATCGTTTAAGGTTAAACGTTAGATTAACACTTAAGATGATATTGCTCCAGTATAGTATAATTTGCTTTGGTTTTTTTAAAGAAGATTAACCTCTCTATGAATGTTTTCATTTTAAAGATATTTCTTTCTTTGTAATAAATTATTTCTGACACAGTTTCAATAACAGTACAACAGTTAATATTTCAGAACATTTGTTAGTTTTGTAGCAATCCTTTTGTAAACAAATAACACGTAAGTTTTTGTTAATTTTTATTATGTTATATAGTATGTTTCTTGTGTAAGATCTGTATTTTTGAAAACTGTTTGAGACAAAAATAAACGTTTGATTTGTTTCTCTGATCCATTTTGTGTTTTAATTTAGAAAAGTCTCCTAATCCTTGTATGTATTTTAGATTGTAGGGAAGAAGAATTTTTCTTTCTCCCAGCAGAAAGTTTTCTTCAAAGCGGCGTCCAAAAAGAAAATAGCTAGAGGTAAATCTTATCTGCCATATCTTATTTCGTTTTTGACCCAGGAAATTTATGTAAGTATTCCTTTATTTTCATTTTGTAGATAACCCAATCCGACCCATTTTATTTCAACTTATCCTTGACCCAGCCCTCCAACAACCCTCTGAGTGCCGTACGCATCAGTTTCGATTATTTTGTTTGCCCGATCTTCTCCCCCATGTTCTTACTCTGAGGTAAGCAAAATATTTCGTTACAATTTTTTCTCCCAACGTGCGAGGCTTGTGAATATTTCCACATCTTTTAGATTCTGATTCCTTTTTCCCAAGCCACTTATATGAAACTTTGTCCTTTTGAATAAGTGCCCCAAGTTGTCTCACAAACAGTAGGGTATTTGTAAATATATATATATATATATATATATATATATATATATATATATATATATATATATATATATATATATATCGATACATTTTTTGCAAAGTAACGTAAGTCACCAAACACGATTTGTAGAAAAAACAATTTTTTAATTCAACCTGGTTAAACTTATTTAAATTATGACTGAAAAAACTTGTCCTAAAAAAGGTTTAAAGTAATTCTAGGCTTACTACACTTTGGCAGTACCTTTTTAACAATAATAGTGTTAGTTTAATTGAAAAACATGATTTTCGCCAAAAATGTCACTTACGTTACTTTGCCAAAAATGTATCGATATATATATATATATATATATATATATATATATATATATATATATATATATATAGTGCGTTAAGTTTTGGATTAGGTATACACTCTACAAATAGCAACACTGCGCGTCGTCAACTTGCACTACATATCTGCTTCGTTGACTCGTCTTTGCACGTCGCCCGTCGGCAAATTTGCCATATTGTCATTATACCGTGGTTGTTTAAAGGTATAACAGCGTAGAGTTTTAATTTATTTTTGTAAACATGTCTGTTTATATGGCCGCGGAAAAAGCTCAAATAATAAAATGGTTTTATAGTGGCAATTCTGCGCAACAGTGTGTAGATTTATTTTCTGTGTTTTTTTAGGGAAGACCAATTCCTTGTGTACAGTCAATTTATAATATTGTTAAAAATTTTGGGAGTTGTTATTGCCTCAAAAATTGCAGAAAATGTCACGCTCGAGAAGTGTTACCAGAAAAAGTTGAGGAAAGAGAATACCGGGATACACAAATTTGTGCAACAATCGAAGTAGATTCAACACGTTTAAGTAGAAGCGTTGCTAGAGAGTTAGATGTTAGCAATGTTACTGTAACGAAAGTATTGAAAAAACACGGTTACAAGAATTTTAAATATTCGAAAACGCAGCAGCTTTATCCAGACGATTACTTTCGAAGAATGGAGTTTTGTAAAACTCTAATAACGAAGGCTAATAGTGAATCAAATTTTATTAAAACATTTTATTCACTGATGAATCTTCTGTTTCGTTAGTAGGGAAACACAATCCTTCCATTACGAGCTATTGGGCGCGGGAAAACCAGCACAGAAGTGTTGTTTACCGAACTCAACGTCCTCAAAAAGTTAACGTCTAGACTGGCATTTTAGGAGACCACATAATAGGTCCATTTTTTATTGAATAGTAGAGTATACCTCGATTTGTTACAGAATCATGTTCTTCCCGCTATTCTCAATCTTCCTGATGTAAATCTGGAGAATGTTTGGTTTCATCAAGACGGCTGGTCAGTTGACAACGCTCGAATTATTAGGGAGTATTTAAACAATACTTTCCCGAATCGAGTTATCAGTGGAACAGGCGATATTAAGTGGCCTGCGCGATCTCCAGATCTTACACCCATGGACCTCTTTTTTGGGGACATTTAAAAAGCATTATCTACGCTCATCCTGAGGCTAGAGCCCAAAATTTGGATGAATTAAAAAATCGAATAAGAGAAGTCTCCAATTCTGTTACAGCAGAAACTCTTTCATCTGTTCGCAGAAGTTTTTATGACAGATTGGGGTACTGTTCAGCCGTAGAAGGTCAACTATTTGAACCATTTCTGTAGGTCATAAAGAATTATTTTTTATTTTATTAGGAATAATATTTTAATTTTCAATAAGAGTATATTTTTTATTTTATCTTTTTAAAGAAATACGCTTTTATTTTTAATTCAACCACAAAAAAAATTTCACATTAATAAAAATCGATAACAATGCATCTAATCGATTAGGTCAGTGCATTTTTATCGAATTTCCTACTATTAAAATCGGCTTTACGTAATGAAACATGAAATCGGAAGACAGAGAAGTACATCCCTAACGTTGTTATGAGTTACTAAACTAAAATAAACGATTTTCTGTCGGTGTAGATTTTCGGGTCGGAGAACGAACATTTGCAACGTTGCCGATTTTAGCGCTTCGTATAGTGTGCAATACCTAATCAAAAACTTAACGCACTGTATATATATATATATATATATATATATATATATATATATATATATATATATATATGTGTATTTTGTACCAACATATTTGTTATATATTAACATATATATTGTTTTTTATATATTGGTAAATGAAAGCAAATATTTGAGTTGAATATTTAAATATGAATTTTGAAAGAAGTATTGATATTGAAAATAATTTAAAACCGGTACCAAATAATTAAGTTATTGTTACATTTATTTATAATTGATTCGACAAATTTTACAGAATAATCGGTTTTTGTAATTTTTTATTTGTTCGGTCATTTTTAGTAAATGTGTGTATTTGTTTGAGTGACTTTGTTTGAGCTGTGTAGTTGGGAAGTAGTGTTATGCAATTTGTCTTCTAATTAAGCACCTTTGTAGGGCGTATTTAAATGCCAAGGATTAATTAAAGTTGTTTTACTAGGAGTAGTCATTGTGAGTTGTAGAGAAGGTTCGACAAGTTTAGTCTCAGTAGTAGACTGTTTATTTATTGTGTAACCTTTCTTGTATCTGAATGACCACAGGTGTAATATTTGTGATCAGGAGATGCTGTTTTAGTTTTGACTAGGAGCAGTCTCATTTAGTTTTCGGAACAAGAGTTGGTTTATTTTGGTATTATTTAGTGTAGCTCACTGAAAGGTCAAGTTTTCAATATTATTAGCCCCGTATTTATAGTCGGTACTCAAGATCGTGCTCGAGCACGAGCTTCGCCAAGTCGAACTTACGTCAAAATGATTTGCTCAAGTATTTGTTGTGTTCTATAAACGATACTTCGGGTATTCTCGTACAAGTTTGATCTCAAGCAAGAAAAAATTAGTACGGTAAAAGTAAATTACGAATAAACATCGAAAAAAAGAAGATTCTGTCAATTTTCTCATAATTGTGACTAAACTTTTAGCGCCAAATTTAGTTTATGCTACTTACTGAAATTTTGTGTTTGATATTAATATTTTGTGTTTGAAATTAATACTGGATATTAACTATTTTAAGGTATGTAATATGTTATAAAAAATATTTATTCTACAGAATTAATTTCTATTTTGTTACTGTGTCTGAGGCATAATTTTTGATGTTCAAAATATATGCTTATGTATATTTGTTTTTGGATATATTTATATGTATGTAATGCGTTACAATCATTATAATTATATTGCATGTGTAAGCCGTACGCTAAATAAATTGGTTATGTAAATTTTAGATGAGTGGAAATAGCAGTAAATATGCACCTTACTCAACAAAGGAAAAAGTTCTCCTAATTCAGCTGGTAACAGAAAACGCTGTGGTAGAGAACAAAAGGACAAACTGTTTTTCACTTCAGCAATGGAGAAAAATATGGCTTGGGAGTTCATAACAACAAATTATAACTGCCAACCTGAGGTCAACATCTTGCTGCCTGATTATACCATCAGGCAGCAAGACGAGATTCATAGGATGAAAATGAAGATTTTAGAAGTAGATATGCTGAAAGCAAAAGCCTTAAGAGAAGCAGCTAAGAAGAAGAGGCAGAGAGCTATTGATGAAGC